TTCATAAAAGGGCTACTACTAGCTGTTAACATCTAATCACAAGAGTTACAAGAAAAAGAAGAAAAAAGCTCAATCCTTTCAAAATTTATTTAAAATCAGCCAGTTAATCAACCATTAGTCTAGACTATTTTTGATGAAATAGTCAATTTTCATGGCTAAACATGGTTAAATATAATGCTTTAGCCAATATAAGATATTTGTAGCTTGAAAAATGGGTAATAATATTGCAAGTTAGAAGAAGAATAAGAAAAATAAAGGATTTTATTAAAGTGCATTATAATGCATGATATTAGTTGAAAGGAAAGGATTAAACGATCAGTTGAAACGGAATGATATTTTTATTATTTGCCGTATTCAATTTACATTTAACCCTTTACCTATTTTATGGATTACATGGATTAAAAAATACATGTAAGCTGGTTTATGGTCTATATGCTAGTCGGTAGTAAATAATGCAATGATTACAGCAAATAATGATGGTAATACTGCATTTAATAATGAGATAACAGACAACAAATAATCTATTTTTTTCTTATTTAATTTCAATTCCATACAATTGGGCCAAAGTCAGGAAAGATTCATAAAATTTCAACTATTTTAAGGTCAAATTTTTAACCCTCAACCACTGGAACAGACTTTTTCCCTAATCCTAATCAAACATCCAATTTTATTTCAATTTATTGATTGTTTTTTTTCTGTTTTTTTCAGTGAAACTACCAAGATTGAATTTATGAACCAAAAGAGATTGATAATGAAGAGCCAAATAATCAACAACGAATTCTGGAGACAATTAAATTTGTAAATTGAAGCCTTGAATGATACAGAAATAAGTCTTGAAATTGAACGCAATCAATGGATCTGGGTTGACCAGTAACTCAAGCTAATACAAAACAGCATGAGTACAGTCCTGATTTGTTTTACATCCTCAGCATACTCTTCATTTGGCTCTTCACTTTGCTCTTCATCTTACTCTTGATAGTATTTTTAAAGGTATTCTTGATGAAACTCTTCATCCTCATGATCTTCACTTTTATAAATCCTTTTTTTTCTAACTCATCTTTATTTTTGTTGCTTTCTTTCCTCTCCCTCTGTGTGCTGACAGGTAAAATTTGGTACAATTTACTCTTGGAATGGAATAAAAGGTTTAAAGGTTAATTCATAATGGATGCAACTTGTTGAGAATGGTGAAAAAGAAATGAGAATTGATGGCGAACAAGAAAAAGTAAAATTTCTCTTCTTGAGAATGGATCAATTGAAGAAGGCTTAAAGTATCTCAAATGAGCAGACAAGAAAGAAGTGATCTCTAAAAATTAGATGAACTGTTAATAATAATGGAAGCTGATGATTTAAAATGGTTAAAATAATAATCACAATAATACCAATAATGATTCAAGATAATCACCTTTTTATTTATATCGTCCATCTATTGCAATCTATTGGTTCATTGATTGACGGAAAAAGGTTGATCTTTCAACGGAATGACCTTTATCTTTTATCTTTCTTTCATTCCAAGATTCATTAGATGATTATTCCTGAGTTGAATCACTTTTCACTTTTATTTGTTTGCTTACAATTATAATGATAATTTTCACCTATCACCTGACTGATAGCAATGAACAAAATTAGATTTGAAAACAGTACTGGCTTGATAACTTGTAATCAAATGTTACTTCCTTGTCTTTACATTTGTTTTGCATTTTATTTACCTATTGACTTATATCTTTTGTACCAACTGATTGAAAACCGACTCTTGTATTACAACAATTAAACATCCGAAGTCCATTTTCAATCATCAGGTTCATCTGAATGTCTAATATTATGAAATGGCTTCAATAGGAATGTTCAATGTTTTGGTTTCAACTGTAACCTGATATTCAATGTGCTTGAGAAGGCTAACATGTCCTGTTTTTTTGAAAAATTGTGTTTACTTATGTTTATGTCACCTTGAAGGGGTCAAGTGATTATGAAGAACATGAAAATGAAGGAAAAACTCTGAAAATTTTACTGAAAAGACAAGATTTTCATCATTCTTCATATCAAATTGATGTAGTTATTAGTACTAGTACTAGTAGCAATAGTACTCAAAGCTTTTATTTGATGTTCACTGGTTAATCAATTGTCAGCAGCTTTTTTAACTTTTCTCATTTCCATCAATTTACGTTGAAAGCAGAAGTCGATTACTTTCAGGTTTTGTTTTCAAAATTAACTTAAACAGTCAATAATCATCGTTTAACCAGATTTAATTTCGCTGAGATGCCGGCTCTCATTAATGGTAAACTGTTGGATGAAATAGCCAAATATCATTTTAAAGAAAGAGAAATGGGAAACAAGTAAAATATCTTTTAATTGTTGAATCAACAAGCAAGTTGTGACCAAAATTCAAAGTTGAATTTAGGATTGCATACTATCAATAAATAATAACAATTAATGGGTATTACATTACAATGACAAGTTGTAAAGGTCTGAGACAAATCAAATCAGCCTAAAGCTGCCTAAAGATACATTTTTATTAATATTTAATTTTGGTTCCTAAAATAATCACTTTGAATCTAAATTATCGTACACTGGTCTGTATAATCAAATTATTGCTGCAGCAATAGGTATGGTAGAGTTGACTGGATTAGAAATCACCCCAATTAAAGCCTTGGAGAAATTTTGGCTCTGACCAAGGTTTAAGGTTGTATGGGTCAAGTGATTATGAAAAACATGAAAATTAAGGAAAAACTCTGAAAATTTTACTGAAAAGACAAGATTTCCATCATTCTGCACATCAACTTGATGTAGGTAGTTTAATGTTATTGTTGTCATTGGTTTTCTTGATTTTTTATTCATCTCTCATTATTCAATGGTAAATGGGTTGAGATTTTGTGAAAGTAAAGAAACAAAAAACTGAATGAAAAGATGAAAATATGATGATGACTGTATGATGATAAAAGGTGAAAGAGAAAGAGGATGATGGCTTTAGACAGAAGAAGATAAAGATGATTTGTGAGTCTTTCCCTTTTTGCTCTTTACTTTTCACAATAATAATGAAATACTCAAAAACTGGATTGATAAGTGGAACCAGAAAGATGATGGTTTTCAAAGCTTAACCCCTGAAGAGTTTCAATTTTTGATTTCACATTTCAATCGATTACATATTACAGTTTGATTCAAAGCTGAATCTTATTGATCATTTTATTGAATGTTTCCGATCTTATCGTCATTAACATTATTTCATATTAAGCCACTAATCAAAGCATGAACGAGAAAAGAAGAGGTTCAGAAAGGTTGAAAAATTTCAGTTAGCTGGTTACAATGTATGATTAGGGTTGAACAGGACAACTCGATTAGTAACGAATGAGCTTTATGTTTATTTAAGATGAATTCTGGTAACCGGTAGCATGATAAGCACCAATTTCAATTTAACATTTGATTAAAAATAACTCTTCTTTTCCAGAATCCAACAGGTCAACCCAATCGAAACCCGATTAACCAATAAATGTAACATGTTTGCTTTCAATTTGTCACTCCTTTCAAATTTGATTTTGTTTTTTTTTCTAATTATCTTTTCTATCTTTAATTATTCAGACAATTCATCAAAATATCATGTTCAAAGTCATCTTCAAGTCCAACATTGGAATCAAGTTAACCATTGGAAATACAAAATAATGTTTAACCGGTTAATATGAGAATCACAATGAATGTAAATTGGATGCTTTTAAATGTATGTGACTCTGTCCCAGTTGATCTTTCAGGCTAATAGCGTACGACCCGATAAAGTGATGGGTGACGAGGTTAACATGATAATGATGGTTATGAAGATGAAGATGAACTATTGCTCTCATCTTAACCTTTCTTCCTTCACTTCTACCTTTTTAGTTACACTCATTGAGCTCATTTGATTTTTTGAAGACAAAACGGATTCTCGGAAGTGATCAAGATGACATTTTTATTCATTTTTTTCTCCTTCTTTACCTGACATTTCTTGTGTTCGTGTTTTACTCTATTGAACATTACATTAATCTTTCAAACGGTCAATTACAATTCATTTTACTGGACAATTCATCGTTCCTCTTAACCAACCTTAAAAAACTGTAATCACTTTAACACAGAAGTTTAATGAGTGAAATGAAAACATGAAAATTGTATCAGTTATTGAAGCTAAATGAAGCCAGGAAAGTGATTTATCACAGCATTGTATGGTGTTAATATTATCAACTGAATGGTAATTATAATTGTATAATTATAATCTGGTTGTCACAAAATTAAA